CACACACACACAAATAAATAAAGTGACATCTTCAGTGCAAGAATACTCACAAACCACAGAGAACTGAGCCTCTGTCTGTCCTACACTCAGCAAGGAACGAACCCAAGACCTGATCCACTTTTCTAGCTCCCCTCACTCGTATCTGTGCAATAACCAGCAGCCAGTGTTGTGGAAAAGGAGAGAGACTCCTCAGTGATCCTTCCTAATAGATTCGTCTTTTATCATGTTTTCATGACCTTTGTAAAAGGCAATTTAAATTCTAATTGTCCTGTGAGCACCACAGGAATCAATTAGTGACAAGAGATGTTAATTGTGTAGCCAGGGAGGAGGCATTGCTAGGCTGCTCAGCTCCAACACGGGGTTAAGAGCCCAGGGGAATGCCGGGATGGCTGGGGCTTTAATCAGTCCTCCCTTTTTAATAGTTTGCATGTTGTGCTGCAGTTGTCAAGGTCCATTAGTCGTCCACAGCACTGAATGAAGCAGTGGCATCCCCTTCATTCCTGCACTCTGCCAGCACATACAAAGGATCAGAATGAACTACCGTTGCAAAAGCAAATCCTAAAACCTCCTCTTCTTTTTGTTCTCGCTTCCCTTCCTGCAGACCCTGCATAGAAATCAGGCCTTGGGCACTGGCTAGTGCAGACTAAATGCTTAATATTGGTGGGCTGTAGGGGAAGCAAACGTGCTCCTTGTCACCTCAGGATTCAGCCAGAGCCTTTTGTGAAAAGCAAACACTCCTGTTTTCATACCAGGACACATGGAACATCGCTCATGAAGACCCTGGCACTGTTCAGACTGCCAGTTGAAACGCCAGACGGAGGTCATACTGAATGCCCAGTATCTATACTGCACACAGGCATAAATGGGGAAAATTTATCTGAGCCAGAGCCAGAGCACATAGCCTGAGAGACTTTCCAACCCATCCTGGCATAGGTACATCTTGGAGAAAAAAGGACTTGGCACGAGTAATCGGATGCACCTTGGGATGCACCATTTGTTACCTATTTCCCATCAGGTGAAAACAGTCCTACATTACACCTGTGCCACAGCAGGCAGCTGTGCCCAAGAAAGTTATGCAACGACCCAGAGTCCCCAGCATCTTGGTATACAGCATAACTTCATGCTAGAAAACCTTGCACTCTGCAAGGTCATGCATCCAGGGGAGTTAAATCCCCTGGAAACAAACGCCTCACCACTGCTTTCTATTAAACATTATCACAGACCATTATTATGACCTAAGTCTCTCCACATTACCCACTTAGTCAACTACCAACCTCAGATGCTGCCTTGGGGAGGTGCTCTGCCTGTCCTCAAGGAGTCTGTCTTTTGCTGTTATATGAAATTCACACTTCAAAATCCCACTTTCGAACTCCCCACTGCCAAAAATGAGGCCTTCACAAAGGCTGGAGAAAGCCACGCATCCTTCTCTGTAAACTAGTATCTGATCAGAGAGAAACTGCAGCACAAGAGCAAATCGAGGTTAGATTTTTATTTCAAATCCTTATTTGCACTCACTTGCATTCTCACAGTTGCCCATTAGCTCTTGAAATGGAACTGGATCATACCTAAGCACTTCATTTTACCCCAAATCCTATGCACAGAATTACAGGCTCAGTCCAATTACGGTCCTTCTAATCCTCTAGGTCTCTACCTTCAGCTCTCTGCACCTTCTGTTAAAGCTCTGGGCACTTCTAGGCTCAAACCCCACAGCCAAGCTCTGGATTTCTGCTCCTGTCCTGGCCATAGAGAAGGTCTCCTTCCCCCCATTCCTCTCTATGGCACTGATCAGCCAGACTGCTGTCCAAACTAGGGCACAGATCCAGGCTGGAACATCTATATCCTGACTCTACTACCATCTTCCCAGATGCCTGGTACTTTTTGGACAGTATCCAGCTTTTGTGAGCCGCAACTCCTTTACTCATTCACTGTTGATCATCTAAATAAATCACTGCTTTGAAGACAGCATACTCGAGTTTTCTTCTCTGCAAATCCAGGAGGGGTTAAAATCATCCCATGCTAGTCAGGGGTCATTGCTGCAATGTATCACAACAAACTCCAGTTCACCACTTGGCAATTAAAGTGTTCCAGGTAGCCCAGGCCACTTATCTACGTGACCATCTGCACCTCCAGCCCAGTTCATCATTTCTCCCCACTCAAAGGGGCAATCTAAAAATAATTCTCTCCAAATACACTCAAGCAATTTTCAAGCTATGGTATCTTTCTGTCTGTACCACTGTCAAGGAACAGCTATCACTCCTTCATATGCCATCATGACTGATGAAGGTGAAGGAGCTCTGACTCAAAAGGACTTCCTACTTGGTGCTTCAGCCTTCCACAACATGCCTACCAAAGGCCCAGACTCAGCCCACTCATATGTAGGGGCCTACCTGGCAGACAAGCTACAAACTGAGTTCTATTTTAGCAGAAAATGCTTGACACCTTTATAGAAGTGCTTTGGTTAGGCAGGAAGAATCCACTCTACCAGTTCCACTTCTCCCCTGCCTCAAGCCACTAAGACAACAAAACTACCTTCTGTGCCTCAGACTTTCACCACTTGCTCTCTTGGAGCTGTTTATTCTCAGGTTTGAGATTCTTCCTGCCTGATAGATTAACCTCTTTTACGAAGTGTGCCCACTTGTACTGCTTCACTAAGATGTTTAATTACTTCTGACTTTGCCCGAAGCAGAGTAAACGCTCTTTCTCAGCAAATGCTTTTCTTGGGAATGCTCTCCCCATGGACACTGACTTTGTTTCTAATTTATTTTATCTGTGTCACATTCTCTAACAGCCTCTGAAATAGAAAGCAGGGACCATTTTGTAAGCAGTGCCAAGCACTACAGGAATGTCCTGATTGACACCACTGTCACCTAGCCTAGCTAGATTACTGCCACTTTTGCCAACTGAGCTTTAACCAGCCAACCCAGAAGATAGGAAGAGAGAGGACCTGTCTGTGAAAATTTCAGGGCATTTGCTCCCTCATGAGGGCATTAAAATCTCATCAACAAACATGAAGGCAAGCGAAGCTGTGTCTTCTTCCTGCAATTTGAAATAGTCAACGTACCAATGTAGGTGAACACCTCCATTTGCACTTGGGTCTGGTGGTGAAACCACTAGGCAGCAACTTTTCCTCTAAGGCTCTCAGAGCAAAATATTACTCATGTTTCAACTCATGGTTTCCAGAGATCCTACTAGTTTGTTGCAAACCTCACATTCAAGAAGTTTCCTAAAGGCAGAAAGCCTCAAGCATGCTGTAAGAATGCTAGATGGAGGCCAGAAAGGTTGCTTAGGGGCTGAATGAGCCAGAGAAAACATGCTGTTTGGTCAGGTTTGAAACTGAAGCCAGAGGGCCAGCAAGAAGCCAAGCATTAGCATTTCACTAAAATTGCTGAGACATCTTCCCTCCGCAGGGAACTTGGAGCTTCAGAATGGCACAACAGGCTTCTGTGGCACAAATGGGAACACAGATTGGCAGGTGGAAGCGCAGTCCCCATGTGAGGTTCCTACCATCCCTTGCCAGCCAGTCCTTTCCAGCTGCCATATCCATTTGCCTGAGCAGTGGAACAAAGCCAACTTCATTGCCACCAACTTTACAAAATAGAATTAACATTTTCTCTACTCATGCTCTGCCCAGAGCTTCTACAAAGCCTTTTTTGCATTTCCATTAAAAATAATAATGCATTTTGTTCTGCTTCAGAAGGCCCATTGCTCACCTGCCCACATCTCTTTCAGACTCCACTAGTCTTCCTTTCTTTTACCAGCATAATCATTTTATGCCCTCATCTCTTTCTCCCTTTATTTAGAAGATTGTGGACACGTTTTATTGCTGAGACTTACAAAACAACTCAGTCAGCCTTTACACAGCAGACGCGATAAGGCTCCAGAAGAGAGAAGGATGACTGTGTTTCTTGGCCTCCACATCACACACGTGGCTCAGCAGTCACGGCTCAGCAGTCTCAAACCCAACTGGGAGGTTCATCACTTGAGCTTCAAGCTGCAGAGCCACAGCTGAGTTTGTTCTGGTGCACTGCATCAGTTCTTCTGCAATGTTCGACATCCTCATATAAAATTAGCATTAAGTAAGACCAATCTTTTAAAACCAAACAGGAAGCAAATGTTCTAGATGGGATCATGACAGAATCAAGTAAAATTGGTTCACGTGTCAAGAGATTCCCTGGGGCATCGTTCACCATGGCAGTTCACTATGCCTAGGAACCAGCTGAGAAGAGAAACTCCCTCTGGAGGTTGCTAATGCATTCTTCTGCTTTCTGAAAAGGATGACAAAGGAAAACTCACTCATTCTTCCTTTTCCACTTTGTTCATTCACCAGCAGCTGTCTGTGTACTAATACAGTCAGCACTCTCCACGAACATTCAAGGAAAGGCAGGAGGAGCTTCAGTCAAACCTCAGCACCTCTCAGCATTCACAGCTAATCACTCCATGTGACCAGAAAGCCTCATGTGCAAGTTGCAATCATACAGGAGCTGAACTAAGGAGCTGCTCTAAAGAGATGCCAGAAGAAACCTTCTCATAGCACAGCAAATTCTAACACTTCCATAAATCCAAGAAGTTAGCCTGCATATATTGTAGCATCTCATGTACTTCCGTAAGGTGCTCGTGTAATAGATATCATACACACTGGTGTTAGCAGAAAAAAATGAGTCACATCCATATCTATATCATACTATCTAATTATTAGGCATTAGTCCTGACACACCTGATTTTGCCTATGCCATTTGCATTCATCGAGCATGCCTTAGGGATCCTGATTTTTCTAATCTTAAATGTAATCCTTAACCTCCATTTTAACTCTCCAAAATTGTTGCCCTGAATGCCTCCTGTGATGCTGTTACTTATTCATGGTTATAGACAGCATTATTTCATCAGCCCATCTACCATTTACTCTCCTGATTCTCCCTATTCAGCAGCTGCTTTGCTTCTTTCCCTTTTCAGTTCACTTGGAAAAGCCTGTAATGGCTCCCCCATGGATCCTCACTACCCACCTGTCTCAGTCCAAGCATGATGGGTGGAATCAGGTCTCTTGCTGAGAGCAGTGACTGGTGGTTATCATCAGCTGAACTGTGCTTGAGGCAGGTGCTAAAGCTTCACCAGCTTTTGATTTTTATCTCCTCTGCTCCTAACTAGAGAGAACCTGTAAGAAAAAGAAAAAAAACAGAAGCCCAAGCTTGCACAGACTGTGCAGGTACCTTCAATAATATACCAGAACTTACATCTCAGCAACCAAACGTCTCTCTGACTACACACACTAGAAAGAGATAGTGAAAAACAATCACCAGCTATGAGAAAAGGAGAGGGAGGGCAGTAAGACAGGAATTCTGTTTGCCAAGTAGGAACTTAAACTGATTAGCTTCAAGTAGCCTGGAGTGAATGTTGACACCAATTTGACTTAAAAGCTGCTATTATTTTTCAAAGTCATTTTCTACAGCAGCCAGAAAATAGAGCTACATTCAAAGCTACAAGGAAACCTACCAGCTTTCAAGCAGCTCAGCTGCAGCCAGGTTCCCATGATGGCATCTGTCAATGACTGCTTCAGAACTAGGATGTCAGAGCACGAATCACAACCACTTGCCCTCCCAGCATCAAGTCTTGCACACCCATCCCAATACCAGCCACGTCCATCAGCAGCACAGGCTTTGCTTGCACCCGTCTGGCACTCAGGACATTACTCACTGAGCAAAACCAGCCACCAAACCCAGCAGCAGAAACACATCCTGCATTGGATCTTTGTAGAGTACATGACAACTAGCCATGCCCGTGCTAAGTCCATATAGCCCCAAGGCTGCCATAACTGAGCCTCCTGCTGAAAAACAATGGGAGAATTTGGATATCTGAGCACTAACTTGGGCCATTTCCATCCCGAGCCACGAATTGAACCAGCTACAAAGCACCCAGTGGAACAGGCCCAAGCGAGAAAGCCACGTGTCCAGACTGATCCTACTGGACCAAGCACCAGCTGCTGTAATACTTCCCAGCTCTCACCAACAGCAGACAGAAGGTTACATTAATTTGACCATGACAGATGGCTTAGGATTTGAGGGCTGGTACTGCATTTCTGAAAGGCTCTTTCTGACAGTCACTGTCCAGCCTGCTCAAGCCCATCAGCTTGCATAAGAGAGGAGTTGAGACAAAAGCCATGACCACAGATGCTATTTGCTGACCACATTGTCATGTTTTCCTTTAACAAAGAGTAACTTTGGAGTTTCAGCATACAAGGAAAAAGAAATCAAAGGAAGTGCAACAGCCACCATTTCAACTCTCCATGAGCTACATGAGAGCTCTCCAAGGCAAACATGAGTCTCTGCAGTCTAATACAAATAGTATAGCTCCAGAGCTGAGGGGCACATCTGACTTGCATCCACTATGGACTGAAAAAGGAGGCAGAGCATAAGGCCCAGACCAGTGTGCTACAAGAAGGCTTCCTGACAGAGGCAGCTCAGTGGCTGTCTCCTCTGCATTAGGCTGTGGCGAAGCAAACAAAACAGCAGCATCTTCTAGCTAAGCTAAGGAAGGGATGTTAATGTCTTTCAGGAAGGAGGAGATGGCTCCATCAAAGCATGCATGGGAGGGGGTCTTAGAACTGTAGAAAGACCTGAGCCTGGCAATGTAGACATTTCTAAAGCAGCCTTTCCAGGTTATGTGGGTTCATCTTTTCTGGAAACTCTGGAAACTGAATTGCAAGGACATGACAGCACAGAGAGCTGATTGAAGGGAGGTGACATGAGCTCAAAGAGATGTTGGTCTCTTAAAGCTTCCTTTATTTTTATCTGTACTAACGTAAGAACAGAGGAGCTTCCTGGGCTGCTGTCCGTTCAGGAAGTGGTACATCTTTTATACTGTTCATAACATTGGCATTCTTTTGTCAGTGTGGCAAGGAGGCCCACATTCTGCTAGCAACTCATGAAGCTTTGCTGTTTGGGAGTGGAGAAGTGATTTGGTACACAAGTCTTAGCTAAACCAAGCAGTCCAGGAGGCATTCAGGTCTCTGTCCCATGGTGGTAAATGCAACAAACGTCTCCATCAGCAAATCTGCAGCCTTCTAACATAACTCTGTCATGGTGGAGAAATGTGTTACAGCAACTAGTTTAATTAAAACATAGTTTGTACGTGTGTGAGGAACAGTGCATTCACAGACTGACAACACTGAAGAATAAGATGGAGCTTGAAGCTTAGGGAAGGGAACGGTTCACTGAGGAAACAGAAGATTGTTTTAACAGTTACAGCCACTGGGTGGTAGAGTCTGCTACCAAGAGATGTGGTCAAGAAGACACTGCTGCAAAGAGCCAATATGGCTTAAGAAGAGCACTAATGGGGCTTGCACAGGGAAATTCTACAGATCCTGGAGGTCAGTTATACCCTAATGATCCCTCCCAGCCCCACCTTCAAGATATCTACAAAAGCAAAGCACAAAGTATGGTTAGAAGTAGCAAACAGGGTCAAAGTTAATTAGACTGATGCAAAACAGGTAGCACCCAAAACCATTCTGGGATCAATATTTCCATTCATTTACAAGCAGAACAAGATCAGAGAGGTGAGCAGAGTAAATAATTAACATCTTTACAGATTTAAAAAAAAAAAAAGGAACATAGTTATTTTAATCTTCTGGGTAATTAACTATGCAGTTGACATTAATCACACCTGCAGCAATTATTTGAAGTATGTGACTAATCAGTCCAGAGGAAAAACTGAGCCAGGCCCAACTACCCTTGCTGCATAGCCCTGTTGGTCTCTCAGTCAATACGTCGGTGTTGGCTTTCAGAAATGCAGCACATTTCCTGCTGGCTGTAACACAATGCATTCCCTGGCTGGCTGGATACAGGATATTTGTACTTCAGATGGAGTAGATGCAAACTATGATGTTTCCAAAGTGAAAGGAAAGGCTTGCTGAACTGTGATTTTCATCTCTTGTGGCCCCTAGGCAACTAAATGACAATACAATCACATGCTTGCACTGATTTGATTGCGCCTGAAAAATATCACTGCATTACAGTGGTCAGAGTGCATGGGCAGAGGGCTAGAACTGCTAACTCCATCATTCCCATCTATAATTGGAAAAAAACACTTCAATTAAGGAAGAATAATGAATCTAGAAGATGGTCTGAGCATTGATATCAAAAGTTCAGGTTAAAAAAGTGAGGTGTATTTATTATTTCTTGGCTGTTTCTCCTTCTAGTAACTACATCAGGGTGAAATTTCAGTTGACAACTCCTAACACTGGTAGCAGTGAACTTCAGTTTTGGTCAAAGAAGTTTGTGGATTCTTGGAAAATGATCGAAATAAATTTCAGCACCTTTCTGAGGATGCTCACACCTACCAGCCCGCAGCTCATACCATGCTGTATTAAAGTCATCTCATCAGGTCTTACTCTGGATTAGGCTGCTGCTTTCAAAAATGCAAATGTTAACTCCCAGAACAAACTTGGCTTGATGATGTTAAGCTTATGTGTAAACTGAAATGCAGCAGACTTTCATTACAAGAACTCAAACATTTAAAAGGCGCATTTAATGTGGCACATTTTAGAAAACAAATATTGGAACATCCAACTTGTATTTCATTGTTTTCCCCCCCATCTATCTATCATTTTCACTGCTGCATATAAATGAGACTAACATTTCTCTAACACAAAAACCAAAACCAATGAAATATCTTTGGTCTGCCGTGGTTCTTGTAGGAAGTCAGTCTGTCTCGTGGTCACAGTAGAGCAAAGTTCTGAAGCAGGTCGGTTAGTTTTAGCGCTCCCTCCTAAGCACAACCCATGTGAAAAGTAGGCTTTCCAGCATGCACTAAGGCACAAGGCTGCTACACAAGGAAGAATCTCACTCCCAAAACTTTCCTAGAGATCATACTGCTCATGCAAAGGCAGGAACGTTCTACTCAGATGAAGAATACCCTGCAGGAAGAGACAGCATCTAGGATAAGCCAGCAGATGCATGCTTTTGGTAACACCAACCACTCCAAATTTTGAGTCTGCTCTTCAAGCAGCATATTTCTTACATCTGGCATGCAAAATCCTGTGATAGTGAAGAACGTCCCATTTTAATTTAAATGAATGCATTTATTTTCAAATGGGAAACCATAAGTTAAACAAACACATTTCTCTTTGCACATGAAAGCATTGTTTTGTCACAGATGTACAGTATAATACATTTATTTTCTCAATTGTTTTGTATTTGTAAGGCACTGCCAGTTATTTGGATGGGTTTGTAAGGATGAAGCAAATTGCTCTGTGGGGCTCTATTCAGGGAACATAATATTCCCACAAAAGCACCATAATTCTGCATGCAGCAACACAGACTACCACGACATCGCAGCAGCTGGCAGGGTGGATAGAGTTAGCATTATCAAAACCAGCATGACAACTGTACTCCAAAAGCCCCTTACATGCATAAATTAATGATGAATGTACACTGATTAACCCTCACCCAGGCTCTAGATAACCCTGCCTTCCCTGAAATAAAACTTTGAACCTCGCCAGTTGTTTTGGTCAGTTCACAAGGCCTGGGGAGCACTTCAGCTTCTTCTTGAGTCACCACATTGGCCTGGCCCAGGACTCTTCGCCCTGCTTTCCCACATGTGCTGGGGAAGAGGAAGAAAGATGCTTGAACCCTTAAGCCATGGGGAACAGTCAAGAATGCAGAACAGAATCAGCAGAGTGCCAGGCTGCTGACTTCTTCATCCACTTGCCACTTTGGGAGGTCCACCACACAGAGCTGGGAGGGAGAAGGTCCTGTCAGGGATCACATCTCTGTTTCAGAAGTTAGCTGTAAATTCACCTCTATTCACTTCTTTGATCAAGTAGCTCCTTCTCCAGGCACGGAGCATGGCATCACGAACACTTCACATGATAATGTTTCCACAACTACTCCAACAGTGGGCAGATGCAGTGAAGGTGTTGTGAGGTAACTGCTCAGTTTGTCCTCTTTGTAGGCTCTCCAGCCCATAGTGAATTTAAATCACACCCTCTAGTCATCACAACTTTCCTAAAATCTATTCTCTTGCATAAATTCTTGGTTATCTTAACCACCCTTTGCTGCCTCAATGTCCTCAGGCTTCTTCATCCACTTGCCAGCCTCCCAAACAGCTTCTACTACCCAGTTCCCACATGGCACAGCCTCATGAAAGTTGGCCACAAAGGCCTTCCTATCCATCTTTAAGTCCTTCTGGTTACACAGAAATGTGAAGGAAAAAAACAACTGTAAGGACATGTTCTTTCTATAGGCTGGCTAACCCAAGAAAACTAACTCTGGTTGAAGTAGGAATGAAGGCAAAACAACTTACACATAGCTGCTTGAGTACAAGCCTGTCTTGAAGGCCAAAGTACAGTGTAATACAGTAATTCACGTTTCAAGTCAGCTTGTCTTTTGTAAAATTGAATCTGAATGCTTTGCCTTTAGCATATATAGGTAGTTAGGTTCACACTGAGTGTATAATGCAATAATGAAGATGTGTAGATAGGTTGAATATCTAGAACTGAAAGGATGATAGAAAAGCCTCCTGTTTGACTTCAAGCTCTCTAAAACATTCCTGCAGCTTCCCATAACAGTTGATCTGACTTTTTACTGAGAGAATATCCTAATTTAGTGACTAGCTTCTGTGGGTCACCTAAGCCATGCATCTAAACTGCCTAAGCCAGGCTTCATTCTCTGTACTAATGACTCCTCCGTGCATAGGAATATGCTTTAGGGTGCTGCTCCTGCTGTCATATATAAGCTCAGTTTGAGCAACCCCACTGCAGTCTTGTTTATATGAGCAGGTGCACTGAAATTGAACAAGAGAAAAAATCTGTATCAGCAGTAATATCAAGAGAGCAGCAGTGGAGAGGGAAGGAGAATAGAGGGGGGCCTTAAAGAAACAATCACCACTCACGTTACACACATCATCTGCTACAGACACAGACTTTCTATGAAGCACTAAGCAAACCACAGCTGTCAGGGCCCATGCTGGGCATCAGCATAAGGCAGATCTCTAGCGGAGGCCCCTGCAGCAAGGGAGCAAACTGTTCAGTGGGAGACTATTTACTCAGGAAGACTCTTCTGACAGTTGACCAAGAATTGAAAGCTGTATGAAGAGGTCTAACAGTGATGAAGATGCTAACCTCAAGGTCTGATCTCTACTGGAGTCTTTTCTCCAGCTACAGAGAGGTTTGTTCAGAATCACACGGTTCTTCTAAATCCATCCATCCACCTTTTGGCATGCTGCCTCCTTTGCAGCTTCTCTTAATGCAGCAACAGCTCATGACTGTAGAAAATTTACTACTTACAGCATCAATAGGTAATAAATGCCAGTAACACAATGCAGAAGGGAACTTAGGATGAGAAGAAATCTCAGCTTTCTGGATTTATTTTGTAGGATCATTTTAATTTTGAATTGTCACTTTGAGGAAATTTAAGCAGGTTCCCATGGAATCCAGGAAATGGCTGTTACTGAGTGGTGACAACACACAGCAGCCTAACAATAGCCATAATGCTTTTGTAATATACATTGTGGCTGAACGTCATTGGAAAAGACAGCAAAATAAGGAAGAGCTCTGCAGTGTATTGCTCTGCTCTACACCAGACCAATAGAAATCCTGCTGGAAAAGTCGTAGCAGAGGTTTGGGGATGGCAAAGGCAGCATCACTGTAACATAGCATAGCTCTTTCAAAACACTTCTCAGCTGAGTTCTCTAAGCTTTTTGCAAAGGTGAGTCAGACTATTATCTTTATTTTACATGCCCCCATGAGATTTACCAGAAGTGACTTACCCAAAATGAGCTACCCCTCAAGACATGCAGCCCATCTTTTCTGATCCCTGCCTTGCCACTCATCAAGCTACAACAGACCCCCTTGAAGGCAGCAGCCCCTGGCCACTAGGACAGCAAGCAAACCCCACAAAAAGCACTGGAATTGGGATGATGTGCCTAGTGCTGGTTGTTACCTGAGTAATTCTAGAGAAGATATTCTCAGAAAAAGCTCTTGGAAGCCTGTGGATCTCAGCAGTCCTCCTGGGGCAGGAAGGCAGTGCTGCTGAAGAGCCAGTGTGTGCATGTGTGGACTGGGCTCACTCACAGCAAAGAGTAAGGCTAATCAGATGGAAATAACTCCTACAGGAACAAACAATATTTCTCAAATTACCTGTGCATTGGCTAGCAGAGTGAGTGAGAGCATCGCAGAATCTGGTGAGCTAACATGTTCGGGTACAGCAAACACTGGGCTGGTTGGAAGTAAGGGAGAAGAGGTGGTGGTATAGTTGGGTGGAAGCATAATAAAGGATGAATTTTACGTAAGGAGCAGAAGTAATAACTTCTCAGAAGGCGGCAGTAATTGTGACTATCCTTGAAATACAGCAATATGAAATGGCAGTCAATAAGGATTGAAAACAAAGCACCTTCCCATTTCAAAATAGGCTGTTAAAAAACTAAAGGAAAAACAACAATGAAACAATGCACTGCAGCTAAAACAACTGAAAACGATTCTTTTTTTTTTTTTTTTTTAATTATTATTTCTAAAGTTACTACTTAAATTCGGGTCTGAAATGGGCAAGTGGAAAAAAAGCAATCATTCACACAGCACTGAGCTCAGCACCCGTGTTTTGCTCCAGGTGACCGCTAAGGGTCTCTGTTGCTCAACACGGGACTCGGTGGGGATTTTTCTTCCTCTGTCAGGATGTTTTGACATCCATTCATCCCTTCCCCCAGCCACACTTCCTAACCAGCCCACACTCCCGCTGAGCACCGAACATCTCCCCTCAGCAGTCTCAAACCAAGCCGTTAGTGACACATCTTCCAGGGTGTTTATGTGCATACAATTCCCCGTGCAGCCCTCTGTGGACAAGCAGGACAGCAGCACCATTAATGCTGCCCATGGCCTGCCTCCACTGTCACAACATCTGTACATTCTTAGGACACACATATGCATTGGTCTGAATGCATCTCATCTTAGCAGCAAACACATCTGTGCTTATCATAGAATCACAGAATGGCCAGGGTTGGAAGGGACCTCAAGGATCACGAATCTCCAACCCCCTGCCACACGCAGGGCCACCAGCCTCCACATTTAATACCAGACCAGGCTGCCCAGGGCCCCATCCAACCTGGCCTTGAACACCTCCAGGGATGGACGGGGCATCCACAGTCTCTCTGGGCAGCTGTTCCAGCACCTCACCACTCTCTCTGTAAAGAACTTCCCCCGACATCCAACCTAAATCTTCCCTCCCTCAACTTCAAACCATTTCCCCTTGTCCTGCTGTTATCTACCCTTTCAAAGAGTTGACTCCCCTTCTGTCTGTAGGCTCCCTGAAGGTACTGAAGGCTGCAATGAGGTCACCCCGCAGCCTTCTTCTTTCCATGCTGAACAAGCTCAGCTCCCTCAGCCTGTCTTCATAGGGGAGGTGCTCGTGCTCCAGCCCCCTGATCATCTTCGTGGCTCTCCTCTTATCAGACATCAATGTGATACCTGAGCTCCGGGTATGGATTCCAGCCTCATGTGGTGGGGTGTGTAGGCAACACATGATAATGCCAGTGGTTAAAAAGCATGAGTTACAACCAACTAGTAGATAATTATGGAAGAACATGTCTATGTGGCTCAACTCCAACATCAACAAAAGGAAGAGCTCTGCCTTTTGAGTCACCAACAGCATTTCCTTCCAGCCCTTGGGTTTTCCCATCAGACCTCCCTTGTGTGTTCTGCCCAGACCCACAATGACTGAGCTCAGAAAAGCTGCTGAGCTTTCAACCCCAGGGAATGGGGCTTTAGTCCCCCATAGCCAATAGAAATTTCCAGGCCACGACTGTGCTCCAAGGACACAGCTCCTCATCAGCTTCTTTGTTACAGCAATTGAACTGTATCATCAACTGAATTGAACTGTATCATCACTGTGCTCCCAGCCATCTCATAGCAGCTTTGGAAACACCATGCTGTAACCAAGTTTCCCAGAGTTGTCAAAGGATGCTGAAGTCACACAAGAGCTTTTTAACACCCCATTACTTCAGTTATCCCCCAAGACCAGAACTGTCCATTGCCTGAGTGCCTCCCCAAAGGAATTAAGTCAGCTCCTCCTGTGCAGGACAAGAATTTGGCTAATTAGAGAGTGGTAAATAATAGGAAGACATTTCTTAACTAGGGACCAGACACCATCTAAAAGCCACAGACATATGCCATAACACATGATGACAGAGTGGAAAAAAAAATACACAGCTGGTCATTTTCTATTGAGTCTCTCCAGGGTGGGGCTATCTGAATTCTTCCGTATTTATTTCATTTATGCTATTTGCTGTGAGACAGGTAACTTTCATTCACTTGCCTTTTTGTCCTACTTCTTTCTTTTTTTCCCCTTTTTCTCCCTCTATTCCTTTTCCAGTCTTACACTCTACGTCTCTGCTACTGTCCCCATGCCTTCCAGCAGAGCTAAATTGTAAATAACAGTGAGCACATGCTGGTCTATCTATTCCACATAATTCCGTGCTATAATTTTCTCTCAACAAATTTGTTAGTCCCATAAAATACTCAGGTTTCCAATGACAAGGAGGACGTGGCCCTCACTGCACTTTTATCAGGTGTGCGATCACATAAACAAGTTAAAACAATTAGAGAACGGAGAGTATTTGCCAGTGCTCTGCAATGAAGTATCTGTTCAGCTGGCTGGGGGCCCTTCTGTATTTCAGCAGCACCTTTTCTTCCCATTCAGAGCTACAGCACCAGCAGAAGTGTTTCTGAAGTCCAAACAGGAAGAAGTCAAAAAGTTCAGCTTCCAAGTGGAACGCATCTAGAAAACAAAATGCTCTGAGTGATCAGCATTTCTCAACAATGAAACAAATGAGTATTTCCATTCCTGGGGGAAGTGGGGAACAAGCAAACTCCACTCCTTTATTTCACAGCATACGGGAAGTTTGAGTGATTGACAGCAACAGAGTAGGGAAATGCATATTCAGCTTCTATTTCCAATGTAAATGACTTGCCACCTCACCCCTCCACTTCCTGATCCTGGCTCTTATCTGCAGTACATATGCATCAGGGAGAAAAAAAGGACAACCCTTGCTAGACTGCTCCCCCTCCCAGATTTAAACGAGCAAAGGCAGCACGAGCAAAAAAAAAAAGTCAAATATCTGTTGGGCCTTGAGCTCTTTTTGCCCACAGGCCCAGCGTGATATGATGGACACTGGGATGGGCTGAGGAGCCCTGCAGTTCTGCTCTCCAGCCCTGCTGGAAGACAGCCGTGTGCCAGGTGCAGGAGGGGAGCTTCTGCTCTTACAGAATTTCTCCTTGTATTACAAAGGTCAGAGCGGTAAGCAAGGAGGCTTTTTAAAATGCTGTGCACTGTTAGAGGGATCTGCGTGGTTCACAGGGATGCCGAGATGCAGCAATTGCCAAGGCAAGAGAACAAACCCAGAGGAACGCCGCGAACATCCGCTCGCAGGAGGCGTGCCCCGCTCCTTTCCCAGGCAGCTCAGTAAGAGGTGCTTATTTTTACAAAGCAGGCTTGGAGATCTTAAAGAACCGATGCTGTCGTCGTGCCATAAACCACTGAGTATGTGACCCACTCATTCCCACTGCGTCCCTTGACCTTTTCCCATAGCATACTCCAAAAGCATCACATGAAAAATAGCCCTTCTCAGCTCTCCAGAGGCCTTGGAGACAGCATCAAAGCTCTGTGATTATAAACAATTCCAGCGAGGCCAAAATGCCATTCCAGCATCAGGGTCCCAGGATCCCTAAGCCTGTCACAAGGACCCAGAGGGAGGCTGGGGGAGAAGGCAGGCAGCAGACATTGTTGTGGGGAGGGAGAAGTGAGGGGCTGAGGTGCGAGCTGAGCCCCATGGAAACCCAGCAAGCTGAGCTAAACCTTGCTGTGCATCACAGAGGCTATGCAGGATCTGGTTTTGCCACTTCTTTTATTACAGGGAGCTTGTGAGCTCCCTGAGCGTGGAAGTCATTTACTGCACTGATCCTTCAGCATAATCCTCCCTTTCTTTCTCTCCTTCTCTCACTGCACATCCACTGACTAACACTCTTGCGTGCATCTTGGAGCTCAATTCAGAGCCCAGGTGGGGACAGGGGGCTCAGCAGAGGGACAGCACTCAAGCTCCAGGGCTAGATATTTGATAGATAGATAGATATTATCAAATCTTTGGGATCTGAAGTCAAAATAGCAGCCGGGCAACAAATGCCTGCAGGAATCACTGTCAATTCCCTCTGGTGTCACACACAACCCCCAGCACACTCCTGCCTTTTGCAAAAGGGCTGAGTAATCTTAACTGTTCCTAACTTTCATGTTTTGCCATTTCTCCGGACTGAGTTCCCTTGACAGAGGCTGCAGATGCTCCTTGAACACCTTTTAAGAAGCAAATGCTGCAGAACACTCTCCGTAACAAAGACTCATTATTCATTTTTCTCAGATTTGCCTCTTCTAACTCCTGGCTGAATTCTCTCTCCCCAGGCTACGGGCAAGGCCTCCAGTTGTTGCACCAGTTACAGCTCTGGAACATTTTTCCCTAGCTCCAGTTACCATTAAAAGAGAAACAGATGAACAAAAGACACCGAGCTTCTCATAACCAGCTCCTAGAAAACTCTCAGCATGCCAGCACCTTCCCTGGCTCTGCACAGAGCTTCACTGACACTCTGATCATGCAGACCACGATCTGACCAGCACCCAGGTGCATGGGCCTCCCAAGCCCTTCACAGCTCCCAGCCCCCAAAAGCACGCTGTCCTTGTCAGCACACTGCCCCAGCTGTTGGCACTGCTCACATCCCTTCACTGTGCTCCTTCTCCCTTTCCCACTGCTCTGTCAAAGTCACAGATCACCTCTGTTGCAGTTCCACACTGGGCTGGGCTCAGGTATGCCATAGCTCAGCCCAGCAGGCAAGGAAAATCGTTTCTGTGTCTCAATACATGGAGAGGTGCCAGCTGCAGCCAGGCAGGTTGGTGTTTGGCTAGCTCATACGTGCTAATAGGGACGTTGCACACTTGCAGGGCAATCATTTCAGTCCCAACAAGGAAACTGGGTAATTACAGAGAAAAGCAGCAGGTGCTTCAATCATGCCTACTCTGTGTCAGGTCTTTTAAAATGCCATTGAAAAGAAATGAAGGGATAATGAAGGCCTAACTCATTTTCAAAGCAGCTAAGTACAAGGCAGGCCAGCCAAAGGAAGGAACAAGGCTGGAAGTGCTACATCATCCTTCCTGCTTCGTGGGGGCTGACACCTGGGGGTGTGAGGTCTGGGGCAGGATGGCACGAGCACGGGATGGAATAAAATAGGAATGCTGTCATCTCAATTCTCTGCTGTAAATGTGTTCGATTTAAGTACAAACCTCGACTTTACCTTGGTTGATCTTATTCATTTTGTATTTTATTTGTGGCTCTTTTTCACCATTTTCCCTTTTATATAGCATCAGAAAAGCATTAACTCACAACTTTGCTCCATTCCACTGCCATAACTGCCTAAATATCC